TATTATTTATTAGTTAAGATGCGTGTTTGTCGAAATATAATATAATTATTTACATTGTAGATATCTATATATATATCAATATACTTTATAAGAAAAAAGCCAAAAATCTTTCAAATAGTTAAACTTCCCAATAATTAATATATTATTTCTGACTATTCAAGGATTAAAGATTTCTTCAGCATATTAAGTACTATAAAGGAAGAATTGTTTAAAATCCCGGTCTTGCATTTGATATTAAAAACTGATTTTATAGTAACTTTTAGCTATAAAAACTAATTACAATATGTATTATATTAAACTATAGATAGCTTCATGGGTTAATAAAAGCTAATACATATTCTAAAATAGTTTGTACAAATTTAAAATTATTTCTTCATAGAAGCAAAATAGTTTTGTTAAAAATTTATTTTAGAATTTATATTATAAGCAAGTATATCTTGTATATAATAAATAGTCAAATATTGTATTCTTGTATGAATATTCAATTTTTTTTTTGACTCTTAAATTCAAATAACTTGATTTTTATCACATAATAATCAGTAAAATCAGTAAACTTATCAATTGATTATATATAGTGTATTTAATCAAATTCAAATTTTGTATCTTTCACTTATTCTTTTCTTAATTATAGAATTTGTTCATATTAAAAGTGATAGCAATAGTGCAAATACTGATTATAAACCTTCTGTTAACTATGAATCTGATAATAATTATGGATCTGTCGATGATTATGAATCTGTTAATAATTATGAATCTAGCTTTAAGAAGTCAGAGAAAGAAATTCTAATCATCGATTTAACAAAACCAAATTCATATTTACCTTTTGATGATTATGTGGTTATTGCTACTCAATTGATAATTATTTGATTTATTTTTAATTCTATAATATAATAAAACTAATTAATTTTTTTTTATCTATTAAGTTTAAAGTAGCTAATCATAATAATATAAATTCTAATGATGCTGATAATATATTACCGATTAATTTAATTACTAAAAATTTAAGAGTCGGTAAAATTAGATACTCTACTTTGCCAATGGAATATCTACCTACTTCAGAACAAGGCATTGCAATTGTATTTAATATAGGATCTTGGGAATTATATAATGTTTTTTTCAATAATGTAATATTAAGTTTGAAATTTTTTTTTTAAATTTTATATAATGTATTTCTAAAATATTTTTTATTTAGATACAGTATCAAAGAGGTCACCTTAGTGGAGGTGGTAATATAAAAGTTGGTGTACTTTTTTAGACTGTAATGTATACAAATACTATTCAACTTGTCAAGATATTAAATGATGTACATTTGCATATACTGAAATTCAAAATGCTTCGCATAGCGAAGTTAATATGGATACTGATTTTTATCAAGAAGAAAATCTGGCTTTAAATGATCAAAAGTCTAAAGAAATGCAAACATATACGTAAGTATATTTTTGTAATTCTGTTTATTTAAATGTATGTAAAATTTATTTAATTAAATTATTTTTATTTTTCAATATATTTAGCAAATATCTTGCCATAATTAGATTACAATGTCCTTTTAATAATAATAACTGTAAAGGAAACTTTGTTGTATAAAAATATAATAAACATAATAATCAAGCTTCCAAAAGCTAGTTTGTTGGATGTAGTCGATGGTGAGATAAAAATGGCAGTAAAAATCATTTCTTTCATAAATTAAAAAATAACATTAATATTAATTTATTAAAATGATTATTTAATAGTGAAACTGTAAGTATATAAATAATTTTATAATTATTTATTTTTTTAAATTATTTTAATAATTATAAATATTTTTAGTTTAAATCTACAAGTGAAGTAACATGTTCATTAGTTTTGTCATCTAATTCGAAAAAAAAAATATATAGTATGTATATTTATTTAAAATTAACTATTATTAAAAATCTTATAATAATAATTATTTTTTAAACTAGGGTTCTTGTATCATTATTTTGATGGTACTATTCAGGAAGGATCTATAATTAAATATCATTGCGATGTAAAATATTACAAAATTGTACTATATGATATTAAGAAATGCCTTTATGTAATTCTTATTAGTAAAAGAATATATAAGCATTCTTTACTCTCACCTAGTAAAATTTCTAATGAAATTACCAATAAATTAAAAGTTATTATCGAAGAAGCTTCTGAAGAATTAGTGAATATTACACTATGAAAACTTATTTCAAATAAGTAATACTATTAAATCTTTTTAATTCGATATATTCAAATTATTAAAAATTTAAATATTTATTAATAAAATATATAATTATTTAGATAACCTTATTAAAGCCATATTTGGAGTTAATTACTTATCTCAAATCCATGTTTCACTTAATGATATCAATAAATTGAAAAGACTTATATCAAAGGTTTAAAAAATTTATCATCTATTCGGTCAAGGCCTTCTTGGTTTAATATATAATATTTGGAAAAAAAATGCTAAATATTCTGACTATATACAACAATCAGGTATATAATATAAGTTTATTTATTTTTATAATTAACATATTAAAAATATATACAAGGTTAATTGCACAAATAAAATTTTTAAAATTTGTTAAAGTTAGATTAAAGTTTAGAAATTTGTGCTATTAAGCTTGTACTATATATATTTTTAGTATGCTTATAATAATTTATTTTATGAATTTTATTATTTTGCGCATATGCATTATAATGCACCCCATAAGATCAGGTGTAACTTGAAATCAAAACAATAGTTTTTTATATGATTAGAGTTAGCATTAGGTAAGGTTAAGATAAGGTTAAGGTAGTTATAAAAGATAAACTTATAGTAAAATCTTGCAAGGAATTTTTTTTGTTAAGACCCAAAAGGTAGTTGCATATGTGAAATTTTGAGTTATAGGTGATTTTTGGCAAAATGAATACTTGTTTTGAATTTTCCTAATTGTGTAATATTACACCTGATCTTATGTTTTAATTGGTTGTTCAGGGGGTGCGTTACAATGCATATGCGTTAAATTATATAATCCTTATTTTATATATACAATTAAATTAAATTATTTTTTTAGCAATTTTTTCTAATGGCCAATTAATGATTATTTGTATGTCAGAATTACAAGCTAAAGCATTGATTGATTTAGAGTATTTTAAAATTGATTTATCTTTTAAAAGAGTTTTTGGTGAAATAAATGAATTTGAGATTAATTGTTATAACGAAAAATATAAATTAAGTAAGTTTTTTTATTTTTTAATTTAAATTTATTAAACTATTACTAATTTAATTAATTTGTAGTTTTAACATATGCAAGAGTTTTTACAAATATCGCAAAAACTGAAACTTATTATCGAATATTTAGTTCTCTCTTTGATTAGATATCTAAGTTAACTGAAAAGTTATCACAGTTTTATCATATTCATAAAACAGGATAGAAATGTATTATTAGAGATCTTGATTATTCACAAGCAAAAGGTTTAGGTGAAACCTTACATAGTATTGATAAAAGTTTATTATGGGATGAATATCTTTGTCACATATTTAAAAACTACCGTATTCATTATTGCAGATATTAATTTTTTTTAACTATTAGTATTATTGTTACAAAATACTGTTGGTATACAATTATAAATTAATCTAATAATTATTTTTTTGCTTTATTTAGAAATATTAAAAATAGCCATTATTCTTCTAAAAACAAAGAACTTATATATGAATTACTTGAAGCAAGTACATATAATCATGTTGATAAAATATTTGAAGAATTAAAAACATCTAATGAATTAAATATTAATAGTAATTATAAATTATTTATATATTTATATAATACATATTGTATAATTTATATAATTATAATATTTTTAGATTGGATCTCATTCTATAATACTACATGGGTAAAGGCTTCTTTAAACCCATTATTTTCATTTATGGATATGGAGATATGGCTTAAAGCACCTGATAATATGAATGTGGCAGAGGCAAGCCATGCCAATATTAATCATGATGGCAAATCTCTTTCTTTAGAGAATGCGATTATTAAGTAATTAAATAATTTATAATTTTTTTAATTTATAAATATATATAATTATTAATTTTATTTACTATCGCTATTTTTAGGGCAAAGCATTATGAACATTATTTTGCTATGTGCAATATTCAAGACAAATATGGAATTAATAAATCAGGAAAAAATTATGATGTGATTGCACGTGAAAAACAAACAATTAAAAGATCAGGTTTGAATTATATAATATAATATATACAAAACTAACTAATAGATTTTTATTATCTGGTTGGAAAAATTAAAATCAGCCGGTCATGTTAATTTTAAAACTTTATATTATGAAATCTAATTAAATAATTTTGTATAGCATGAATTTTTTTTGTTGAGGTTGTGGTTTTAATTTTTTAAATTTTATATATTTTTATAGTTCATAAATCTCAAAAAACTAAACGACGTATTAATAAACCAACAAAAGCATCAAAGAAACCAAAAGTTGATATCGATTCAATTCAGAATACAAAAAATGATTTAGAGATACAAGAAAAACAATTGTCAATAAAGGAGTGTGAATTAGAATTGGAAGAACGTCAGGTTCGTTTAGAACGTGAAAAGCTTGAAATAATAAAATTAAAAAAAGAATTAGGATGTGAATAAAATTTTTCGCACATGTTAGTTTTATTATATTTGCTTTAATAAAATAGATATTTAAAGCTTGCATTTGCTTAGAATAATATATCGAACTTTTTTTCTTTAATTAATTATCTTCAAATTGCGTTAATATTACCTCATTTATTAATCGATTATGCGTATAGTTTGCATCATAATTAAATTGATTAAAGTAATTTAAGTGTGATCAATAAATTTAAATAATTGACCCCGATCAAATTAATTGTCATATCACGGGGACAAGTTACCAAGTTACTTTAACGATTGAAATAAAACTAAAAAGCTTTACTAATTCAAACTAATTATTAGAGCTAAATGAACATTACATTAACACGGCTTTTTAATTTAATAGTAATAACATCGATACTAATATTAGTTATATTTGGTACTTGAATTTTTGCGAAGCAATTTACTTTAGTCACCCGACACCAGTTAACTTTGTTGGAATTATATTATATTCTGGTTAAAAACTGTATACACATGTTTAAGCATTTGAGTAATACTCAGCAAAAAAAAATCTATATGCTACTCATCTAGTTTAGTTTACATTACTGAATAACGCATTTTCTGATAATACTCAGTAAAAAAATTTTAATATGCTAATCAGTTGAAGCGATATGGGGCTTTTGCTAACAAAATGACCCTCCGAGCTATTGTTACACAAGATTTTAATTAGTAAAATCATAACAAATCTATTTTTAGTAAAAAAAAATCATAGCAAAGGCCCCATATACTGTACTGAGTAGGGTATTACCTCATAAAAAGGTTGGGCCTGTATTGATGCAATCATAATCTCAAATTTAATTGAGGAAAGATGAGAACAAAGTGCACAAAATTACGGCATGGGTACGTGCAAAATACTTTGTCAAAAGAGACAGTATTTAAGCCATAAGTTTTCAAAGTTTCCAGGGCATAAAAGTTTAAATATGAAGGATGTGGTCTCTGCCAATAGATACTTGAATGCACACAGGTATTTGGTTTTAAACTTTGCCGGATGGTGCCTTAACTATCTAACTACACCAATTGACTTTCTATTATTGATTATTTGGTTGGCTATAAATTTTCAATTTAACCACCTGACTTAAAATGGAATAAAAACAAAGTTGATTAAACTGACAAACAATTACAATTTAATTCTTTGCCTAAGGCTATACAAGGTTAATTATTGGATTTTCATAACACAAAATTTTAAACAAACCCAGTCGGGCGCTTTTTTTTAAATTTTAAGTTTTTTAAAAAAAATCTACCCGGCTACTAAAATATGTAAAATTTTTTTTTGTTTTCGAACTTTGACCCGTCGAATCATGAAAACTAATTCATTAAGTTCGTATGGCCTAAAGCATTTGTCAGACAATTAATCCGGAGACATATTTTCTATATCATAAATGAGTCAAAAAATTATAATATCAGCTTCAAACTAACATTTATTGTAATAGCTATGTCTATAACTTCGAATTAAATATTATATGCTGAAACTTGTCTATATGTTTAACGCGAAACGACGAGCACAGATAATACTTTAGAAATACGTATCCTGTATTAAGATACTATCTATATGTCACGTGTAAAATTAGTAGCGATAGTTTAAATAAGAGTCACATGCGGCAAATGAAATTAAATTACTTACTGCGAAGTCGAAATAAAGTTTTGACTAAATATGGATAATTGATGCTTTTCCGTAACATTATGCTAATGTACTTAATTGATTAATTGATTATAACCAACTTCCAACTAAATAGAATGGAATACTGTATGCAGTGTTGTTACTGGAAGACCACTGGAATGTCACTGGAAGTAAAATCAATAGTGTCACTGGAACTTTAGGCTCCAGTGACACTATTGATTTTGCCTTCCAGTGACCTTCCAGTAACAACACTGATATATACATGATGATCATTCAAACAAATGCTATGACAAAAATTAAACAACTAAATACGTATACAATATTGGGCAAAATTTGTCGAATAACGGTAATTTGGTAAAACCGGGGCAAATGAACACGTGCCGCTTCGCGGCACGTGAGCCAATCATTTGCCCGGTTGAGCCAAATTATCGTA